AATCGTGCTGATGGTCAATGTAAAGCTCTTGGATGCATGGTGTCCATTCGTTGGCGATTGCTATGTCGTCGTTGCGGTGTTTTGTCAGTTTGTCTCTGCACTGCTTGGTAAGTGTGCGGGTAGGTTCGTGCATTCTGGTAGCGTTGATGCAAGTGGGGTCGTATGCTGCAGTCGTGAGTCTTCCTTGCGTGGCGTTACCGTCTTCCTTGTGCCCGTGTTGGGTGGAGCGATGCTGCCGATGCCAGGCGACGTTGTAGTATTGAGGTGGACGTTGAAGCCGGCAAGTATTACAGTGGGTGGCCATTCGTGGCAAGGGTGTGAGAAGTTTCCCACCACTTGGCTGGGCGTCTAGGGTCGTGTTGCACGTGTGGGGTGCATGCTACGCATGGGATATCGCTGATCAGTGGCGCTCGTAGCCTGATGGCTTGATGGTGGAGAGTCGGTTAGATGCATGTAGAATTTGGAAGTGCTTGTAGTTGGAGTATAGTTGTGTCTTAGGTGTGGTCGCGCATGGCAGCGATGTACTCACCAGAGGGCTACAATCTAGTTGTGATGGATGCTGGAGTGGCGTGAATTGCAAGTAGGTGGTGGCTGTGCTGAAGTCGTTCCTTGCCGCGGTTCCCTGTGCCCCCCCCATGATGTGGCTCTTGTGCAGTAGCGTTTGTGCTCGTAGGTGTTGTCCTCTGGTCATGTGGTGTAGCGTACGTTTGTCGTTTGTCGTATGTCAGTGCTTCGTTGATTATGTAAACGTTAGCTCTTTGAGCGTCGAATGTATCAATTCCTATGTGTATCGCGGTGGTGTTGCTGGAGTCCTTACTTGTGTGTTGTGGACAGAAGTCAGGTGCGGTCTGTGTGTCGTGTTTGGTGGTGAGTGGCTCAGGTTGTTGTGTTATCTGTGCAGCTAATAGTGGAAACCGTCGTCCTGAATCATGGGGTAGGCGTACTGATCGTTCTGTCTTTTTGGTGGATTGTCCAGTAGATGTTTGTATGGTCTGTTTGCAGCGCACGGAGTGTGTCGCCAGGTTGTGGAAAGTTGGTTGCTGCTAGGCTTGGCATTTCTGAGTCGGCGCATGCTGCTGCGTGGTGTTTGGCAAGTATGTCTGCTAGTTCGTTCCAGGGGTGGTCGTCGTGTCCGTTTATGTGGTGCAGTGTAAATGAATGGTTTTGGGCTTGAGGGAAGATGACTTGAGCTAGGCGTGTAATTGGGTCTTTGGAGTCTTGCACTTGAGTGATATGGTGTATTGTGTTGGCTGCGTCGGTGTGTGTTTGCTTGTCGAGTTGTCTTTCGCTGCTTGTAGGGGGCCATCCGGGTAGAAGTAAGGTTGAGCTGGAGTGGAGTGGGTGAGAGTAATACGGGCGTGTTGCTTGCGTGACGGGGTGTAGCTCGATGTCTGAAAGGTTGCGACATAGGTTGATGCGTGAGTTGGAGTCTGCCAGTGAGCAGAGTAGATGCTTGGGAATAGATTTCTTGATGTGATGCGTGCTCGAGCTAGCGATGTGAGGCAGGCATTGTTGGGACCTTTGAGGTCTACGTAGCTTGTCACGCTCCTTCCACGTAGTGGAATGGGAGGCGGTGTAGCTAAGTCATATTGGGTGAAACAATTGAACTGGGCCGAATCGGGTGATATTTTTTGTCGATGTCTTCCAGGCTGGAAATGCTGATATATTTTGGTTTGTGCTGCTGGTGCCTTGTTTGGGTACGTATTGCGGTGCACTTCTGGGTGGTGAGTGTGATGCTTGAGGTCGGTCGTTGGGACTTGTTCGAATGGTGACCTTTCGCTGGAGGGCTTATTCTGTCTCTTCTGTGGCTTGGTGAAGCTGTGGAGTGTTGATGTATCGTGGTGTGCCACCAGGCGTCATATCGTGCGTAAGTGTATTGTCTCTATGCTCCGGTGTACGTGGTTGCGACGTACTTGCATGGTATATTTCGGTTGCCGTGGTTGGGGTAGATGTGCGTTGTGGTATTCTAGGCGTGAGTGGCTCGGTTGGTGTGATTTGGTGTTTCTTGAGATGAGTCGATAGTTTGTGGTTGTCTTGGTCGGTTGGTTAAGTCGCGTAGGTCGTCGTCGATCTGTATTGGTGGGTTGTCGGCAACCTCTGTGCTTGGTGCCGTCAGTGTGTCCATGATGTTGCTTAGTTCTTTGTGTAGTCGGTTAACGTTTTCGTCCACCTGAGCTCGTTGTGAAAGTTGGCGTTGTCTGTCTAGTCGTTCTTCGTCGAGTACGGCTTGCCCGTGGTCCACTAGTTGGTTGATGCGTATGTCGCCGTCCAGTTCGTTGTGGTAGTCTGGCGTTGCTGGCAGTTGCTCAGGCTGCTGTGCGTTTCGCATTAGGTCTAACAACTCTGCTTGTTTCTGTTTGTGCCATTGTTCCGATTGTGCTTGTGCCTCTACGTACTTCTGGAACTTGTACTGTTGGCGCTTGATGTAGTCTTCTGCGTCATGCTGGCACTGTTCGGCCGTACTTAGTCGATGTCGGTAATGCTTGTTGACCGCGCGGAGGTGTCTTGCTGCATTGGATATTATGGTGGAGGCTGCCCTTTCTCCGTGATGGTTAGCTAACATCTTTGTTTCATGTTGTTGTAGTCGTTGTGTTGCGTTCACTGCTTCTCTCGATGCTAGTACTTCATTATCAAATCTTTCTTGTGCTCTAGCCCTTTTGTGCGTCGTGCTCGATGTGCTTCTCTTCTTGTCTTTGGTGGTTATGCGCGTACCACCTAGATCTACTGACTTCTTGTCTGAGCCCCTCTTCTAGGAACTGCATTCTTCGCACAGCCATGCGGATGTAGGGTGCTTGTCTCTGGGCCAGTTCTGCTTGTTGCGTCTGGTAGTGGTGGTGACTCTGTTGCGTGGTTTGCTGCATGTGTGTCCTCCGTTATGCGTTCAGCTCTGATGATGTTCTCGGCTTGTCTGGTGTGCTCGATAGGTGGCTATATTGATAGTTGTTGTTGTTGTTGTTGGACGTGGGGCCTAGCCTTAGCCCAGCTAGGGTTGCATGCGGCTCTTCTTCTTGCTTGGCGCGCATGTGTGATTGATGCCCCAGTTGATTGTAGTTGTGTTTGGTTTGGTGGAGTTTGGGCGTGGTAGTTGAGAGATTGTGCAGTGAGTCCTTCGATCTGCTGGTGTCGTTGTTCAACCTGCTTGGACGTGAGTTGTGCTTGTCTTAGTTCGGCTTCGTCTAGTCGTATCGTGGTTGGCTTGTTTGCCTAGTGCCTGTACCGGCTCACCTGCTTCATAGCAGTCGTTTGACAGATAGTCGTTGGTTCTTTGTAGTTGTTGCATGGTATCTTCAGCCTTGACGAGTCGTTGTTGTATGTGTGTGTCGTTGGGTTTGTGCTCGCCAGCTGTCGTAGTTCTCGGTTCGTCGCGTAGTTTGCTTGTAGGTCGTCAATTGTTTATTTGGAAGCGTTTTGATTTTCATTGTACCGTCCTGCTTGTCGTTGCTTGATGGTGGCGTCTTGAGAGGCTGAAGTGGAGCTTTTCCTTTTGGGCACTTGCTGAAATGAATGTCTTGTGCTCTGGGTGATGTTGCGCGTGCTGTTTGTGGGCTAGGTGTGTGCTGTCTGTGGTTGACAAGCTTCTGTTCAAGGTTGGTGTAGGTCTTTGTGAGTCGGATGTTGTCGTCGTGTCGCTGTTGTGTTTGTTTTTGTGTGGCGTCGGAGATTCTAGTGCAAGCCGTGTAGTCACTTTTTAGCTGCCGCATGTATTGTAGTCGGTCGTGCTGTGGTTGTTGGTCGAGCAGCTGTCTTTTGATGACAGCTCGGTCGTGTCTTAGGTGGTCGGCTTTTTGACCAGCTTTTTCGACCACCAAGATTTATGAAGTCAGCTTCCTGATGTCTGCCGGCTTGGATGTGGTCCATGCTCCCACTTCCAATGGCGTAGCATTTGGCTTGTATTTTGTCTGTGCGTCGTCGATATAGACTTCGGGGATGCTGTCTATGAGCACCTTCGCCTCCCTGTCTGCGTAGGCTGCGTGGTCTGGGTTGGATTCAAAGTTGGGCTGTGGTGGTTGGTCGTTGTGTCTGGTGCGTGTTCGATCTTGTCTTTTTTGAGCTCTCTGTCTGGGCGTGGTCGCTCGTCGTTGGCTGTGAGTGCGGTGTGTTTGGGTCCATGTGGTTGCCTCTGGTGCTGTGTAGTAGTGCATGTTGCCCTGCTGGTGAGTGTGGGTCGATTGGTGTGGATCATAGGTCAGTGCTGGTTGTGTGTAGTTGGTGTACCCGCTGTGGCCCCTTGGTTGCCATGTGGAGCTCTTTCCCTTTCCATGGTGCTGTTGGTACTGGTGTTTCCCATTGCCCATGCCTTTGGCCTGGGGTGTTGGAGTTTGTCCGTACATCTCTGTGGTTGTGGGACGTGTTGGTTGGTGTGCATGATGGTGCTGGTTGAAAAGGTGTTGTGCCTCTTGTACGTGGTCGTGTGTCGATTGGTCTAGTAGCGTTCGTGTGTCGATTGGTCTAGTAGCCTTCTAGCTGAGGCTACTCTTAGTAGCGCTCGAGATGCTGCTCGCTTTCTCCGTTACCTGCGATACCAGGCAGGGGTTTGGGATGTAGTCGGCGTCGTGGCAGTCAATCGGTGCACGTAAGACGGCGTTGTCGAATATGTGAGGCCGTGGGAGATTGGAGGTCTGGGCGTCCGACGTAGTCGTTGAGGTCGTGGCGCTTGGCCGTAAGGCCTAGCAAACGGTGCGCCGTACGTTGAAATACGGGATGGTGCTGCGTGACACTGCGTGAGAGAAAGAAACAACATGTAATGGGTCTACAGTGTAAATGTCCGGAGATACAAGGCATGTCAGAGGGCGTAGGGATGTAATGGGTTAATAAGAAAAGTTTCGGTCGTGGCTTGCCCCCTGGGGCTGGCGCACTGCCACAAGCTCCCGGGCCCGAGGTTTCTTCCTCCTCGTACCCCTCCTCATCCTCCTCATCCTCTTCCCTCTCCCCTCCTCCCTCCTCCCCCCTCCCATCCCCCCTCCTTCCTCCGCCCCCCCCTCCCCCCGCCCTGCCCCGAGGATGGCGACGGGCAGAACGCGTGGTGCAACTGGCGCCCGCAGGCGCAGGACCTCCTGGGGGCCGCCATCCATCGCGCACCGACCCTGGCTGGGCTGGACGTGCGGGCGGGCTCGACCCGAGGCTGCGACTTACGCAAATATCGCCCAGGGAGCCGATCTTCCTGGGCCTCGGTAAGCAGCGGATGTGGATATTTTCGGACACAATGGGGCCATGCTATATCCACATCGCCCGCCGCCCCCTCGGGTCCCAGGACATCGGTTCCTAAGGTGGTGGATCCCTTCCTCGCACTCGAGGATCGAGGATCGGAGTTTTCGGGTAACCAGGTGCCTGCGGCGAATCCGCCACCGCGCCGACGGAGCACTCTGTGCCGACTTCTTGAAACTCCGCCTAGAAAACCGTCGCATGGGTGACGCCTCTCGTCTTCACTTCTTGATTACCCTTGTTGGGGCCGTCTAGGGGCTGTCTTGGGTTCCTGTGGGGCAGTCTTGGGGCTCACTTGGGGCCCTCTTGCATCGTCTCGGGGCCGTCTTGGGCTTCTAGGGGCCCTCTTAGCCATCTGGGCGTGTCTCGGGCCGTCGTAAGGCCGTGTTGGGCCGTCTTAGTTCGTCTAAGACCCCTCCAGAGGCCTTGTTGAGCCAGCTTGGCTCTCTCGGGGCCGTCCTTTGTTGTCTAGGAGCCCTCGCAAATTGGTAGATCTTCGACCGAAGAGCGTGGAATGCAAAAAACATGAGACAACTCACAGACAATTAGTGTGTTTGGCTGAATCCTCGAAGGCCTCTGGAGGGCATCATGGGGTGTATATAGGGGAAAATGTGGACCTCTTGGTGGCCTCTTGAGACCATTGGAGCGATTCTTAGTGTCTCTTGGGCGGGCCTTCGAGCAAGCGATATTTGGCCATTGGGGCGGCCTTGGCGGCCTGTCCAGGACACCGTGGACGCAGTATAGAGCGCCAGGGAGGTGTTGGGGCCCCCAGGAGACTACGGGAGGGGTGAGCATGTAGCCCAGGGGCGTCGAGAATTGTGTGCGTGGTGTGTGTATGTGTGTGTGTGTGTTTGCGCTCGTGATCGTGTCTGTGTCTGTGTCTGTGTCTGTGTCTGTGTCCGTGTGTGTGTGCTTTTGTTTGTGCTTGTGCTTGTGTTTGTGCTTGTGTTTGTGTGCGTGGGGAAGGTGTCGAGTACTTACGTTACCCATACGAGGAAAAAACGAAGAGGAAGCGGAGGGGGAGGAGGATGAGGAGGAGGACCAGGAGGAGGAGGGGCAACAGGCGCCCGTCTCAAAACGGAGACCAAACCAACGCGGGTAGGGAACACATGCTTTACCATTTTCTAGCTTGAAGCTGGAGGCTTCCGGATCCCAGAGGCATCCAGGAACATGTCGAGACCTCTGAGACCTTGGAGGCCGCTGGAGACCCCCAGGGGGCCCCCTGAGGTCCGGCAGAGTCTGGCGCGGACCGAGGTGTAAAGTAATAGTGTGGACGGGTGCGGAACGCGCTGCTGGCGCCCAGGTGGGCTCTTGATTGGAACGCGCAAGTGCTTCCTCATGTCTGTGCGCGTGTGTGTGTGTGTGTGTGTGTGTGTGTGAAGAGGTCCGATCCTCCCTCGCTCCCCCTATCTCTCGCACACACACGATACCTGTTCTTTCTTTAGCTCTAGGTGGGGGGCCTGTCCACCGATCGTGGGCCCAGGATGGACCCGGCCAGGGTCGGGGCAGTTGGTGGATACGGAAGGCTCGCGTCGTGTCGACAGGCGGCGACCCCGCCGCCAGCGTTCAACGTGGAACGCCACCCGCGACGATCTGACGTTTCGGACACGGCCGATCGTTCGAGGTTGAAACGATCCGCGCGGTGTCAGGAGCCAGCGCCAGGGGTGGCGCGACACGAACCCGCGGTGCTCAAAATTGTTTGACAAGCTCTGCCCCCCTCCCCGACGCCATCCCGCCCGACGGCCCTCTCTGCCCCCCCCCCTCCCCCCCAGGCGCTCCAAGCGCCCACCCCCTAGCGCGATGCAGCTCCCGAGTGCACCGCAAAGATCGGCGGGTTCCTACCCCCCTTCCGGCATACCCCCTCCCCAGGATGCCCCGCCCCCCACCCCCCCACCCTGAGATCCGGTCGTTGTCATTGTTTCACCCGGCGTTTTCGTCCAGTTTCGGACTCTGGGACCGCGGCAGTTCGATGCGGCTTGAAAAATGGCGCGGACAGATGGGGTCTAGGGCCCCGATCGTGATTTTCTGCTATGTTGAATGTTTGTTCGCAACGTCGGATCTCAGGGACGCACACCGAGACCACTCCCCAACGCGATCCATCCCCCTGGCACCCCGCGAAGGACAGCCGATTCCTACCCTCCCACCCTCGCTTGTTTATGCATGGATGCTTGTGCAAGAGGATGGCGCGAAGGGGGGGGGGGGGGCGGCGGCCTTCTGAGACGGCGGGCGGCTTCTTAGAAGGCGGAGGCCTTCTTAGAAGCGCCTGTATTATTGTACGCATTACGGCTCCTCAGAAGTCGCGAGGGCTTCCAACAAGAAGCTGCTTGCCGCGGCCTTCTAAGAAGGCCGTGGGGCTTCTTAGAAGGCTGAGGCCTTTTTAGGAGCGCCTGGATTAGTGCAATACGGCTCCTCAGAAGTCGCGAGGGCTTCCAAACAATAGCCGCCTGCCTTCTCACAAGCCCTGCCAGCCCTCTGAGAGAAGGCCGCCCCGCTCGCGCCTTCCCGCCTGTGTGCGCCGCCAGCCTTCGCTCCAGGCCGTTCTCCGACGGCCCCCGCAGCTCGAGGCCCCCCTCCGGAGCCCGAGAGCCGGCGAAAGCCTGCCGCCGTGATCTCTGCACTGCGCAAGGACGTGAGGCTACAGCAGGCTCGCGCCGTGTCGACGCAGCGGCGACCCCGCCGCGAGCGTTCGAGGTTCCATGCGGTGCCAGAGACCACGGCCGGCATCGTCACGTCACGAGCCTGCCGAGCGGTCTTGGGACCCAAACCCGAGCCTCCGGCGGCGGTCCGGACGACTCGGGCACCTTGGGAACGCGCTCGGCGAGGCACAGCTGCAAGAAAACTTGGGCGTCGCGTGATGGAAGGCGATGCATCAACCCGCACAGTCAGGATAAACAACTTTCCAAGTTCACCCTTGCATCCTTCCCCTTTGGCCCATCCTTGGCCGCTTTCGCTGGTCGCGCCCCGCTCGCAAAGTGCCGCCATGACTTTCCAAGGCCCTCCTTATTGCGCGTCCTTATACAGGTTGTCCGTACATGGGTGGCAGCGAGGCCTGCAGAAAAAGGAGCCGTTCAGGGCCCCTTTGGGGCCAAAAAGGGGGCCTTCCGGACCCGAGGAGTGCACCTTTCCCCCCCCCCCCCCCGGATTGCCCCCCTTCAGCGACGCCCAATCTGGGCACCCTGGGAACGCTCTCGGCGAGGCGCAGCTGCCGGAGAGAGAGAGCATCCCGAGGCGATGAAGCGTGCAAGAACAGAAGAGCCGCTGCCGGGGTCGTCGCGGCACGGGCCCGCTGGAGTCGGGTCACCTTGCAGGGACCAGGCGCCGACCACGCTTCGCGACCAGGGCCGCGGAGCCGTCCTCTCTCCACGTGAGGCGTGGCGGGCGCGAGGGCGCGAGAGCGACGTGTGCCTCGCGCCTCGCGCGGCACACTTCCCTGAAGACTTCTAGAGGGAAGAGAGGGGGGGGGGAGGAGGATGAGGAGGAGGGAGGGGGGAGGGGACAGAGGGAGGAGGGAGGAGGGAGGAAAAGGATGAGGATGAGGTAGGAGGGGGGATGCTGGATGGGAGATGGTGTGAGGGGAGGGAGAGGGGAGGAAGAAGGATGATAATGTCAGCGTGTGATTTATAAATGACCGGACCCCGGGGGGACCGCCCCTTGGGGCTCATGAATAGACCCCGCGCGTCGCGATACTTTTTTTTATCACGCGCGCCAGGGGGGAGGAGGAGAGAGGAGGGGGAGGGAGGAGAAGGAGGAGAAGGAGGAGGACGAGGAAGAGGAGGAAGAGAGGGAGAGGGAGTGGGAGGAGTAGGAGGAGAAGGAGGAGGAGGGGGAGGAGGAGGATGAGGAGGAGGACGACGACGAGGAGGAGGAGGAGACGGTGGAGGAGGAGGAGGAGGAGGAGGAGGAGGAGACGGTGGAGGAGGAGGAGGAGGAGGAGGAGGAGGAGGAGGAGGAGGAGGAGGACGAACGGCTGGGGAAGGAAAGGGGGGGTTGCAAAACTTGCTGCGCGCAGCCCCGCTGAAGGGCCAGTCCTCGACGCATGGCCGCTTTCGGCGCCAGGAGGCGCCAGGAGACGCTTGGCAAATCCCCCCTTTGCTTCACCCCACTTTCGTCCAGCCCGCCTTGCTCATAGGCCCGCATCGGTTCAACAGAAAGAGGGGCGCCCTGGCTCGCCCTTGCCTCCAACCCCCCCCCCCTTGCCCCTCGTTGGCGGCTGGGCGTCGGCGCGAATCACCAGCGCCGCCCCGTTGATTTTCAGTCTGGCGGGCGCCACCCCGCGATTCGCCCGAGCAGGGGAATTATCTCTTTCAACGCGCGCCCCCCACGGATTTGTCAATCACAGGTTGATGTCCATGACGGCGCCGACGACACGCCGCGCGCCTGGCGGGCCGGCGCCGGTCCCTCCACCGCGTCCGCGGTCAGAGGCGGCGCTGCCGTGGCGTGGGTGCGGTGGCTGTGGAGCGGCGGGGGCCCCCGAGGCCCCAGTGCCCCTGCCGCCGCCTGGGCTCCGGGGGACTGCCCGGCGTCAGGGCGGCCCCACTGCTCGAGGAGGGCCAGGCGGCCGAGCTCGGCGCAACCGCGGCCCGCCGAGCAGCGCGGCACCGACGCCGGGAGGCTCTCGAGGCGGCCACGCGGCGGCCTTCGCAGGACGAGGCCGCCCCCCGACGTGCGCTTGACCGAGAGGCTCGTCGAGCACGGGTACACAGTCGTCGACGTTGCTGGCCCCATCGGCGGCGCCGACTTTAAAGATGACCAGGTGTGCGCCTACGCCTCTCTTCTCGGCATCGAGCAACGTCGAGCGGCTTCGAATGCCCCCTAGGCCCTCCTGGCGCTTGTCGTCGACCGCGCGCTGATTAGGTACGCGCCGTCCCTGTATATTTGGGCGTATCGGCGGACGGGTCCAAGGTTCTGCCCGAGGACCGCGTCGGCGAAACTGAACCTGAAAAGCACGGTGTGACAGGCCCTGCTGCTGACAAGAGCGCCGGGCTACAAGAACATGCGGGGCCACAAGACGGCGCTGGGCTACGCGAGCGCGCTGGGCCACGAGAGGGCGCTGGGCTTCGAGAAGGCGACAGGTTACCAGTAACGCCTTGGGCCACGAGAAGGCGTTTGGGAAACGAGAAATCGCTGGGCAACGAAAGCGCGCTGGGCCATTAGAAGGTGCTGGGCCACGAGGACATGCTGGGCCATGGGACGGCGCTGGGCTACGCGAAGGCTTTGGGTATCTAGGACGCTGGGCCACGTTATGGCGTTGGGCTGCGAGAAGGCACCGGGCTGCCAGAACACGCCATGCCACTAGAAGACGCTGGGCGAACAAGGGGGCCCGACGCCCGTGCGCTGGCCGCGCATGCGCGCGAGGTTTTCCTCGCCTGGCGCTCGACCATCGCGAATCGCTGCTACGGTTTACTATGGCGCACAGGGCCACGAGACGGCGCTGGGCTACTACAAGGCTCTCGGGCGCTCAATCACCCTGGGCCGAGAGAAGTGGCTGGGCTACGCGAGGGCGCCAGGCTACCAGAACACCGAAAACCGCGAGAAGGCGCCGGGCCACGACGAGGCGCCGAGCCAGGAAAACACGCTGGGCCACAAGGCGGCCACAGGCTACGAAAAGGCGCTGAGACACCACGGCGCGCTGGGCCACGGGGCGGTCCTGGGCTGCGAGAAGGCGCTGGGCCGCCAGAACTCGCTGGGCCGCGTCAGCGGGCCAGGCCACAAGAACGCGCTGGGCTACCCGACCACTCTGGGCCACGAGAGCACGGTGGGCCACGAGAAGGCGCCAGGCTACCAGAAGACGCAGTGCCACGAGACGGCCCTAGGCTGCTTGAAGACGCTGGGTCGCCAGAACACGCCGGGCCACGAGAACGCGTAGGACCGCGAGAAGGCGCCGGGCTACACGAACAGCTACCAGAGCGCGCTGGGCCACTAGACGGCACTGGGCCACGAGAAGGCGCTGGGCCGCGACAGCGCGTAAAGCGCTGGGCCACGGCGGCGCGGCTGGCAACGGCGAAGGCGCGGGGCTTCTAGGACGCGCTGGGTTACGAGAAGGCGCTGGGCTCCGAGAGCGTGCTGGGTCGCCAGAACACGTTGGGCCACGAGGAGGCGCTGGGCTACGAGAGCGCGTTGGCATGCCGAGGAAGCGCCGGTCTAAGATTACGCGGGGCCGCGACATTAGGGGCTGGTGGGCTGCGAGCGCGCCGTGGGCCGCCAGAACACCCTGCGCCGCGAGAAGTCGCTGGGCTGCGAGGAAGCGCTCGGCAACCAAAACACGCTGGGTCGCGGGTGCCTGCCGCGCCACCTGGTGGCGCACTTCGGGAGGGCATCCGCGTGCGTCTCGTGAGACTGAACGCATGGTTGATTCTCAACGGCCGAAAGGGGGACCTGGGGCCCTCAACGCATGAACCTGGCCATGGACGTGCCGAAGTGAACAATCCAGATCCGCGCCAAGACCTAGAACCTGACTGTCTACTGTGGGCGCTATCAACAAAAACTCGGAAATCAGCAGTCACACCAAGCCTTAACTTTCTGGTCTTACAACTTGCTGCAAAAGGACTGCGCGTTCGAGCAAATGCGCAACCTCGCAGCCGCGCAGGGCCAGCCCGGGGCTAATATATTCTTCCCTGGCGCGCTTCAGCGCGAAGCTCTATTCGACGCGCCGTTCGCCCAGATGTCGCAGAGCGAAGCGCGAACGACACTCACAACGGCGAGGTCGGCCTGCCTGAAGCTGGAGAAGGTAGCGACGGCCGTAGTGGAGTAACTAGCAGGGCCAGAGGCCCATACCGTTCTCCTCGCGATGATTACGACCTCCCCCCTCTTGCTGGCGGTCTTGGTTGCACCTCCGATCCTGCGGCTCCTGTCTGTCGACCCGATTCCACGATCTCATGCCCGGCCATTTTTTTGTTCAGCGGACCGACGGCCGCCGCTGTGCGTGTGTGGAAACGTCTTCGGAGGTGCCTGCAGGGGGCGCGTCTCCTGCGCGCGTGCGGGTGCGCTGCGCGGCGCGGCCTCGGAGTGGGATCGCTGCGAAGCGCTGCGGTAGGCAGGGGAAGAAAGGGGAGGAGGAAGGGGAGGGAGGAGGGAGGACGTCGGAGGATGGGAAGGATCAGGACCACACGGACGACGCGAGAAGGGCGATCGATAGTGGATGGTTGCCGGTTGATGGAATTATGTGGGTTTCGATTACGATGTCGATGACAATGACGATGGTGATTGCGACGGTGGTGATCATGATGGTAGTGATGATCAGGATGATCATGGCGGCTGCGATTACGATAAGGATGATATGATTAATGCGATGATGCTGAATTCGACGAAACGGCTTCTGATGGTGGTGGTGATGATGGTGATGGTGATAATGATGCTTGCGGTGTTGATGCTGATGGTGCTGAGCACGATGGCGATGATGTTGGTGATGATGATGGGAAGACTCATGATTATCATGCTGGTGGTGATGATGATGGTACTGGTGGTGGTGGTGGTGATGACGATTATTATGAACATGGTTATGATGATGGCGATAGCAATGGTGGTGACGACGATGATGGCGTTGGTGATGTCGGTGACCATGATGACGAAGCTGGCTTTGATAATGACAGTCGACTCCCTGTGGCAGGACCGGGCCCCCGCGCAGCAGGCATCCGCCCGCGCGGCTCCAGAGGTCAAGGAGGCCGCCAGGGCTGCGCCAGCGCCACAGCCACCGCCAGTGTCGCAGGAACCATGCGTCGTCGTCGTCGTCGTGGTCGTCGTCGTGGTCGTGGTTGGAGGAGGGGGAGGAGACTGGGGAGGAGGAGGAGGAGGAGGAGGAGGAGGGGGAAGGGGAGGAGGAGGAGGAGGAGGAGGAGGAGGAGGAGGAAGGAGGAGGAGGGGAGGAGGAGAGAGGAGGAGGAGGAGGAGGGGAGGAGGAGGAGGGGAGGGGGAGGAGGAGAAGGACGAGGAGGAGATGGAGGAGGAGGAGGAGCTGGGAGAGGAGGAGGAGGGGGAGGAGGAAAAAGAGAAGAAGGATGAGAAAAAAAAGGAGAGCTATGAGAAAAGAGATGAGGAGCAAAAGGAGGAGGACAAACAGGAGGAGGAGGAGGAAGAGGAGGAGGAGGTGGAGGAGGAGGAGGAGGAGGAGGAGCACGAGAAGGAAAAGGGGGGAGCAGGAGGGAGAGGAGCAGCAGGAGCAGGAGGAGTCCGTCTGGCTGCCGCTGAGTCGCGGTTGGTCGCGCGGCCAATCGGGCGCCGCGTCAAGGGCCGCGGGCCCCTCTGGGCGCGCCAGGGGCGCCGGTCCCTCCCAGCTGGTCGGCCAGTGCCCCCTGCTCCGACCAGGGCATCCAGGGGCGCCCAGAGCGCGGGCGCCGCTCGTCGGGCGCCAGCGGCCGCGCCTCGTGCGCGTCAGCGCTGCACGGTCAGGAGGCACAACGAGCGCGCCCATCGGGCCCTGAGCCGAGGCGGACGGCGCGGCGGGCTCCTCCTCCCCCTCCCCCTCCTCCTCCTTCCCCTCCTCCTCCTCCTCCTCCTCCTCCTCCTCCTCCTCCTCCTCCTCCTCCGCAGCCAATTTGGCTCAAGCCCCGCAGCCTGGGCTCAAAGCCCCCGCGCTCCTCAGCAACTTTCGCGGGCGCGCCCGCACTCCGTACCGATACACGATCTTCTTCGCTCGACACGACTCTTTTATTCCGGATGGCTTTGATTCTTCTGGCAGCGGTGGCCCTGACGGCGACGATTTGGCCCGTCACAGCCGCAGCGGCGGAGAGGACCGCGCCTCTCGCGTCCGCTCCCGCCGCTCCCGAGCCCGCGACGATGCAGATGGAGATCGCCGTCCCCGCCGCGCAGGGCTCGAACGTCATCGTCGCGGCGCCTGGGACCGCCCACCTGCGGTGGCAGGGCCGGCGGCGGCCCCTCCGTGGACGGGGGCACCTGCCAGCGGCCAGCACGACGCCCTTCAGTAGCACGACCCCTGGGCAGCAGCGCGGGGCACCAGTGGATCCCAGATGGAGCGGGACCTGTAAGCGTTCTCGACGTTCCCCTCGCAGGAGGCCGCGCGTGCAATGCCGGTCGGCGACTCTGGCTGGGGCCCCGCGGCTTCGATGGCAGGCGGCGGCGGCGCTGCACCTGCTGATGGCGGGCCCGCCAGCGGCCCCAACGGAGGCGCCATCGACCATGCCCAGGAGTTCAAGCGCCACATGGCCTCGCTCGTCAGGGGTCAGATGGCGGAGACGATCTCGGAGGTGGACCGGGTCTGCCAGCGGTGCATGGCGGCGGCGCAGGCGGAGATGGTTAACGCCATGTCCGCGTACATGGAGCCGATCATGGGCCGCGTCACCCAGCACTCCACCGAGCTGCACCAACTACGCCAACGGCAGGACGCGGCCGACCAGGAGAATATCCGCCTTCGGACGCAGGTGGCGGAGATCCGCAAGAGCCTGGCTATGGCGGAGCACGCGCTCCCTGCTGCTGACCTGGCCAAGTTGGCGGAGTACGACCGGGAGGCTGACAAGCTCCTCTTCTCCGCCAAGTCCCCAAGCATGGTCGCCGGCACGGCCGTGGAGGAAGCCATCAAGGAGTGGATCCAGGGCTCGACGGTCCCGGCCGAGCACGTCGAGGTCATCGGCGGCGCGGCCCCCACGAAGCGCTTCTTCATCCGTGTCAAAGGGGGACGAGGCCTCAGGCGGCACACGGGGCATGGCACTGGCAAGAACTCTTCGTCTGCCTGGTGGCGCCTGGAGGGTCTTCACAGAGCGTACTCGATGGTCGCAGGGCCCCCCTCCACGTGGGGCCCGACAAGGCACCTCGCCAGATTCGCTGGGAGATGCACGCGAAGAAGCTGCTGTCCATCCTGTTGGAGTGGATCGTCAGCTGCAGCGCGGCTCCCATCATCGAAGTGGTCCCGCAGGACTTCCACGAGCCCTCCAAACTCGTCTGGGGCCCACACTGCGACGCCCACGTGGCCGAACAAGACCGACGACAGACCACCGAACGCTTCCGCGTGGCCTCCGCCCCTGCCAACGAAGTGGACACCACGACCTGGTCTTCCTCCTAGCCTGGTCTGGAGGCCCTGGGATTTGTCCTCGACACAGGGCCGTGCTGACTCGAAACAGGAAGGGCTACGCATTGCTTCCTGGAGCGCCAACGAGCTCTTGCGCCATCGGGTCCACAAGCGGCGAGAGAAGGTTGCACGCCTGGTCAAGCTCATGCAGCGTCGCTTTCTCGTCGTCCTGCAAGAGGTTCACGGCCGGGAGCCTGCACTCCGAGCCGTACTTCGTCAGCTTCCTTGCGAGTGCCGCGACTTCTTCGCTCCCGGTGTCGGTGGCATCGCGTTCCTGATCCCATGGATGTCGGACGCCACGGTAGCATCGCTGCCGCCCCAGCGGCTGCCCACCTTCGAGTTTCGGGCCCTTGCCGAGGGACGGGTCGCCTCCCTCACCATCACCAACGACGACACGAACCAACATCTACGCATTCTGAACGTCCACAACCACGACATCCCTCCCAGTTGCCTGGAGTATATTCGACACTGCTGGCTCTCCGGGACACGCTGGGCGCAGTCGGACGAGCGCCACCGCCTGTTAGTAGCGCTCGGCGACTTCAGCATCGCAGACACCGAACCCGCTCACCTCCACCGCCCCGTGCCTCTCCGGGATTCTCCGGCCAGAGCTGGGGCGCACCTCAGTTCTGAGCAATCCAGCAGCGCTTCCTCCAGCAGCTCCGAAAATCTTCTCCGCCGACGGGGGCCACAGTGCCTGGGCCGCCGACGGGTAATAGCCGTTCGGTCTGGCACCGGGGCAACCATGCACAGGGTTTCTGGCGCTCCCTTTTTTCTCCCAGCACATGGTGGGGATCTGCAGCGAGTACCCTACCCACTACTCGAAACGCCACCGAACATGCTCCTTCATCGACCGCGCCTTCATCTCCATGCAGGGCCACTGATTAGCGTTATAGTGCATATCGCCACCGACATGATGCTCCTACTTGGCGCCGGTCATCCCTAGGCAGTCAACAACGTACCGCCGTCCACCTTGGTAGAAATTGCAGCTTACTAAGACGAACGTACGGGGCGCTATCGATAGCCCCGCTGTGCAAAGGAGCAGCCCTCCATCCTTGTAGCTGGTGCGGCCTTTTAAGACGAATGTGCTTGGCGCCAGAGCGAGAACCTCATATTGAAAAAGGTTTTGCCCTCCAGCCGTGTAGCCAGTGCACAGTTTCAAACATTGGATTTTTCTTTGGTGCGCGGAAGTCTGACGCCACGGCCCCATTATGGGAAAGGACCAGGCCCCATCTTTGTAATTGTCGCGGGTTCTTGATCTTCTAGGACGAATGTGCGCGACGCTATTGCGAGAGCCACGTTCTGGAAAGGTACCGCCGTCCATCCGTGTAGCAGTTGTGCAATATCGCTCTTGGGGTAATTTAAATGATGGCCAGCGTGGGCACCAAACAGTGCTTCTCTAGCAATATATTCTGCGCGATCTACATGGAAAAACATGTGGTGCAATCAGCGTGGTGCAATCTAGTCTACGTGGTGCAATCTACGATGTGCATTATATTGTGTGGAAGTTATGTTGCACGCTCATCGTCGTGCAATATGTGCGGTGCAACCCATGTTGTGCAACACGCGTGGTGCGAAATATGTGATGCAATATATGCTGTGTTATCTTTACGGTGATATCTTTGTGATGCATCATACGTGGTGAAATATATGCTGTGCGATCTATGGTATGCAACATGTAATGTGCGATGGACAATGTATGTTGTGTGATCGAGGTTGTGCAGCCGATGTGTTGCAATCTTTGTTGCGCAATATATGTGGAGCAGTATATGTGGTGCAACCTGCGTGGTGCAATCTAGGTGGTGCACTCCACGTGGTGCAATTTATGCGGTACAGTTTTGCGAGGCCGCAACGAGGTGACGACGGGGAGGCGACGGCGGAAACAGAGCCGCCAAACCGCCACACCGGCCCAGACGACGCGCGGCGACGAGGCGGCGATGGGGCGGCGACGGCGGCCACAGCCGCCAGACCGCCACACCGACCCGAACGACGGTCGGCGACGAGGCGGCGACGGGGTGGCGACGGCGGCCACATAGACGCCATACCGCCGCACTAGCCCAGTTCTTAGAGGAGAAGTAAAAACCCCTAAATGCACGCACTGCTTGGATGATAACTTCGTGTTTTGAGACGACTTTACGCGGCGCTATCGATAGCCCCATTGTGCAAAGAAGCCGCCCTCCATCTTTGTAGCTGGCGCAGCCTTTTCAGACGAATTTCGCGGCGCCCTGGCGAGAGCCTCATATTGAAAAAGTTCTGCACTCCAGCCGTGTAGCCATTGCACAATTTTTGCACATTGGATTGTCCCTGGCGCGCGGAAGTCTGAGGCCACGGCCCCATTCTGGAAAGGAGCCCGGTTCCATCTTTGGGACTGTCCTGAGATTTTTATTTTCAAGACGAATGTTCTCGGCGCCATGATGAGAGCCACATTCTGGAAAGGTACCGCCGTTCATTCGCGCAGCCGTTAAGCAATATCAATAGCTTAGGAAGAAGTCGAAGGCGAGAACCCCAATTTGAAAAGGGGACGGCCTCAAGCCGTGTAGTTGTGTTAAGTTTTTCAGACGACTGCTCGCGGCGCTAAGGCGAGAGCCCCATGCGAAAGCGCCCGGCCTCCATCCGTGTATGTAATTGTTAAGAGTTTACGCCTGTGCTGGCCTAGGGACACGTCGGGCGGTGCGACTGGGGGAGTAGGGGGATGGTGAAGGAAGAGAAGGAGGAGGAGGTGGAGGAGGAGGAGGAGGAGGAGAAGGAGGGTGTTGAGGAGGAGGTCGACGACGACGACGACGACGGCGGTGGCGACGACAACGACAGTCTTGCACCCTAAGAGGTAAGAGGTGTGCCCCGAGCGCGGCCTTGTACAGGGCTCTGCGCGTCCGCGTGTTTTGCAGGGGTGCTGCAAGTGCCAGCATTTGGCTTGACACTGTTCACGCGGCTTTACCTTACCTCCCTCCTCCTCCTGGTGAGGCTTTGCCTTCGGCCCCGGATCCGGACCCCCGGGGCCCCTGGAGTCTTCAGGAAGCTCCTGGAGGCTCCTGGAGGCCTGACAGAGGCCAAGCGCGTCCGCCAGCCCTCCCGAAAACGTTCGGAAACCGCCACCGCGGATCTTCGAGGGTCGAAGGCAAAGCTCAGCACCTCTTCCTCGGACCACGAGCGTCGCGCAGGACCAGAAGGTGGAGTGGCCCGCCGAGCCCAGTGACGCGGAGCCAGACGCGGATGCCAACGCCGAGGCTCCGCGGACCCCCGCACAGCACCGGCAAACCATGGGCGGGCGTCAGGGCGGGGGGTCGTCCGGATCAGGGGCGGAGAGTGAGCTGGGGGAGGGAGGAGGAGGAAGAGAGGAGGAGGAGGAGGAGGAGGAGGAGGATGAGGAGGAGGATAAGGAGGAGGAGGAGGAGGAGGAAGACCAGTGCAAACCCAACACTCATCAACGATGTTGGAGTAAAGCCTCCCTCCAAGCTCCCTCTCCATATGCCCCTGCAGGGATTCATTTTCACTGAGAAAAGTGCCCCGCTTGGAGGCAATCGTTTGAAGATCCTGAAGCGTGCCGAAACACCGTTCTCACAACTCCAACGCCACGAATCAACCAGACTGTTGCGTCTTGACGGTCCTGAAACGCACTAGAAAAACATTCCCGGGACTTCAACACCGCGACTCAAAGTAATTTGTGCGTCATGGCAATATTGAGTCGTTCCAGAACATCGTTTCTGGTACGTTAACAATGGGAATTTGTGAAACTCTTACAATTGCTTAAGACGAGTGCACGCGGCGCTAAGGCGAGAGCCGCATTTTGGAAATGAACCGCCCTCAATCCGTGAAGCTCTTGCAATATTTTAGAACGAATGTGCGCGGCGCTGAGGCGAGAGCCACATTTTGAAAGCGACCCGCCCTCCATCTGTGACACGGTTGCCACTTGAGAAGCTTCAGACGTAACGCCTGGCCCGCCCTTCCGACTGACCCCGGGGTGCGACAGGGATCAGACACTTATAAGGAAAAAATGGATGATGAGGAGGACGAGGATGAGGATGAGGAGGAGGGGGGGTGAGCGGGAGGAGGAGGAGGAGGATGGAGGGGTGAGCGAGATGAGGAGGAGGAGGAGGAAGAGGAGGAGGATGCTGAGGAGGAGGAAGATGCTGAGGAGGAGGAGGACGAGGAGGAGGAGAAGGAGAAAGAGGACGAGGATGACAACCACTGCCGCCACCAACACCACGACGACGACTCTGAACACGACGACCCCCACGACGACGCCGCGATCACGACCAGCGCCGGCACATTCACTACCGGGACCACAGCCGACCAGATCTACGACCACGACCACGGCCAGCGCGACGGCGCCATGACCACCACCACTGACCGACCCGACCGCCCCCGCCCCCGGCCGCCCCTCTTCTTTCCTCTCTCTGCCCCCGCTGGGCCGCCCTTGCTGCCGCACGCGCCTTGCGCTTCGCCTCCGCCTTCTTCCTCGACCCTCCCTGTCCTTTGCCTTTCTACTTGCATAATTCACTGAGTTGCATCGTAGAACTAAGACATCGCGGCGGAAAGTCACGGAACCAGTTTTTCAAGAGTTGTGTCCGGTAGGTGGCGTTTTTTGTGGCTAGAGACCGAGGACATCCCGGGACCATAACCCCAACGCCCGGGGGTCCCCCCAGGTGTCGGGGGTGGGGACCTACTCGGGTGCCCCCGGGCCTTTCGGACGAGGATGAAGTGGAGGATGAGGAGGAGGAGGAGGAGGAGGAGGAGGAGGAGGAGGAGGAGGAGGAGGAGGAGGAGGAGGAGGAGGAGGGGAGGAGGAGGAGGAGGAGTAGGGAGAGGGGGAGGAGTCGCAGGAGGAGGAGGAGGAGGAAGACGAGGAGGAGGAGGAGGAGGAGGAGGAGGAGGAGGAGCAGCGAGCACATACGAAGCCTTGCAGAGTTTGGGTGACAGCGAGAGCCGAACATTAGGAAAGGGTGAAAGGCACAGTTTAGCATAGAACAGGGTTACAGATCGCGAGCACAGGCCTCGGGATGGGCCAAGACGAAGTGAACATCAATCGCTAGCGTCAGCTCGGGAGGCACAGACAGAATCACAACGCCAAATGACTTTACGAGGAATTCCATGGGTAAGATACCGAGCCACTGCACGGCCTCGTCCATCATGCTAAGGCGACTGGGGACGGCAGTATTGGGGTTACCCTTCGCTCCCCTGGTGCACCCCCGCCATATATGTAACAGCGCTACTTCCGCTGGAAGTGGAGGAGGAGGAGGAGGAGGAGGAGGAGGAGGAGGAGGGGTAAGCGGGAGGAGGAGGACGACGAGGAGGAGGAAGAGGAGGAAGAGGAGGAGAAGGAGGAGAAGGGCCCTCCAAGAGCTTCGTGCAGAAGGGGCCGCCAGACAACCCCTTTCTCGGGGGCCCAAGATGGGGCGCCCTCCGCTGCGGCGTCGGGCGCTAGCCGACCGGCCCCTGGCTCCGAGGGAGGGGGGGTCTGCGGGCACCGCTCGCGATAATGAGATAGCTGTGCCACGGGACCCGAAAGGCCGGGCGCTCCGACTGAAGACTCCGCCTACCCAGAGCGCCCCAGAGCCGCGGCACGACCGGGCCGGGCGGCGACGCCTGCAACTGTTGGGTTTCCGAAGCCCCCTGCGCCGCCGTCTGCGTGCGCTCGTGGAACAGCCGTGGTTGGCAGCGCCGCCGCTGGTGCGCGCCAGGATGGCCAGCGCGAGGGACCTGGGGTGCGCACCACCTAGCTGCGTCGGTCTCTTCGATGGAGGAGAGATACAGGCGTGGGCGCGGCCGGCGCTCCAAAGAGTTCTGGCCACCGACCGCAGTGGAGCCGTGCCCCGATGTTGCCTGTGTGGCGAAGCCCCAGACACAGTGGTGCACCTGTTGGGGCACCGCCTAGCGCTCCCAGAGGCGCACAGCAGCATGGACCTCATCTAAGGCGCGACTCCAGTGGAGGCGGCACTGCAGGCGGCGGCCGCATGGCTCCAGCGGTGCTGTGAGGGCGGCGCCCCCTTGCCGCCCCTGGCCCTCCCTAGCCGCAGGCCGTACATCAGGCAACCCACACAAGTTCTGTGAACAGCCCCGTGCATGAAGCCAGGCCCTGGGCCGTGCGTCCGTGGCGCCCACCCCTGACCCCGTGTTCCTTCACATCCCGTGGCCCTCGGCCAGCGGGCTGCAGCCAGCCTCTCGCCTTTGCGTGGCCCTGCCCGTTCATGGGCTCCATCCTCCTTGCCCGTGGCCTCGCATGGCCATCGGTGTCTGCCTTGCCCTCTCCCCTCACCTCTTTCTCCCTTCCCCCCTGCTTGCCCTTTTGTGTGGCCTCCATCTCCTCCCCTGGCCGTGGATAGGAGTCCCCTAAGAGGCGTTCCGGGGCAATTAACAATCCCGACAACAGCCTATGCATAGCCTACGATGGGTGCCTTGTTGGCCTATGTATAGGCTACGCGTAGGCCTTTGACAGGCCTACGCATAGCGTATGCACAGGCCTATCGTAGGCCTGTCCATAGGGTGTGCACAGGTTTGTGGACGCCTCTGACGACGGCCTATGCGTAGCCTATACAGTAGGCTACCATAGGCCTGTGCATAGCCTGTCGACAGGTCTGCGACAGCCCTATTCACAGCCCATCCATAGGCCTAACGATGGGCCTGTGGACAGGTCTATGCACACCCTACCCATAGGCCTATCGATAGGCTACTTCGGCGCCTGTGTGCAGTCTGGACACAGACCTGCGCATAGCCTATCCATAGCCTCTGCGCATGCCTACGCACAACCTGCCGATAGGTCTGCCGCAGCCTTGTGGACAGGCTGTGCACAGGCCTATGCGACGGCCAGCGCCTCGCGATCTAAGGAAGTAAGCCTGGGCTCGTTCAAATAGTGCGAAAACGTTCAGACCAGAAATAGAAAAGTGGAAAAGTGGAAAAGTGGAAAAGTACAAACCTCCATTGGAAAAGTGGAAAAGCACGACACACATGGAAAAGTGGAAAAGTGGAAAAGTGTAACGACAGTTAGAAAAGTGGAAAAGTGGAAAAGTAGAAAAGTAGAAAATCAATAGAGCAAATGGAAAAGTGGAAAAGTGGAAAAGCCCGAGCAAATTTCAGAAAAACAGAAAAGTGGAAAAGTAGAAAAGTGGAAAAGTGGAAAAGCAAGGAACCCCTGAGACACAAGGCTAACTTTTCCACTTTTCCACTTTTCCACTTTTTTATGTTTCTTTTCCACTTTTCCAGTTTCCACTTCTCCAAGACGGCCCAAGCTCAGCTCAAGGCGTCCACCGGGAACCCCCCTGGATGCGCTTCGCAAGGGATTTGCATTGACACAAATTCTTCGCTTTGACGGCTCTTGGACGGCCTAACTCGGGGAGGGCCTCCAGGGGGCCCAAGACGCTCCCAGCCTGCTCCAAGGCGGCCCAAGATCGGCTCCAGACGGCCACAAGAGGCTCCCCGTATGCTCCAAAGACCCCCCGAACGCTCCGAGACCCTGTTTGCGTCAAGATTTCCATTGACACAAATTCTTCGGCTCGACGGCTCTTGGACGGCGTGGCGCCTGTTTGCGTCAAGATTTCCATTGACACAAATTCTTCGGCTCGACGGCTCTTGGACGGCGTGACGCCAGGGGAGGAGGCTGCCGCCGGCACCCCTCGCGCCGCCACCGCCGCCGTCGCCGCCGCCGTCGCCGCCGCCACCGCCGCCCCAGCTTCCTCAGCTTTCTCAGCTTTCTCCAGCTCCTCCTCTTCCTCCTCCTCCTCCTCCTCCTCCTCCTCCTCCTCTCGTCCAGCTGTCTCCTCCGCCTCCTCCTCAAGCTTTCTCCAGTTTTCTCGTCCTCAGGAGGAGGAGGAGGAGGAGGAGGAGGAGGAGGAGGAGGAGGAGGAGGACGACGACGACGACGACGACGACGAGGACGAGGACGACAGCGGGCTCGGCAGGGCGAGGCTTTCCAGGTCCCCCAGGTCCTCCTCCAGGTCCTCCCCCAAGCCGACAGGTCCCCCAGGTCCTCCTCCAACTTTCTCCAGGTTACTTCTCCTCCTCCTCCTCCTCCAGCTTTCTCCAGCTTTCTTCTCCTCCTCCTCCTTTTCCTCCTTCCTCCTCCTCCTCTTCCTCAAACTTCTTCAGTTTTCTCCAGCTTTCCCCTTCTCCAGCATTCTCCTCCTCCTCCTCGTCCATCCTACCTCCTCGTCCATCCTACCTCCTCGTCCTCCTCCCTCATCGTCTTCCCTCCTCCCTCCTCCGCCTCCCTCTCTCCGGGAGTCGGTCCTCA